TTCCCATACCTCCTAATGTACTCATGGCAGCTAAGAATACATTACACAAACGATGCCTGCAATAATGCTGTAGTTTTCCATTTGTGCCATGATCTCTTTTCCCGCCTCAAAATGTAGGTTAGAAGAGAGGCTAAAAGATGGGTGCTCTTTAAAAATATCATTAAGCCTCATGACCATAAAATGAGATTTAATAATTGGTTAATCATCTGCAGCCTTTTTAATTAAAGTGCCGCTGATTGCAGGGGGAGTGTTAAAAATTCTCGTAAATTAAATGAAGATGATAAGGAATAATTTCACAGCATTTTGCTGTTTCATAAAGATTGCTTTCAGCCAACCTCACTAGATTTTATTTTGTTCTGGCTAATGTAGCTTTGGTTCCTTTTGCCTATTTTACTGTTGTTCTCTGTGTGTCTGTTGCAACCAGCAAGGGTCTGATACCAAAATTTAGAGCTCTTGCTTGCAATAGAACTTGCTTCCCCCATTATTGGTTTCCAACAGATTTTGGGTACGTCTTTGGATTCAGCTCAAGGAACTATGAGGAACTGTGCAAGAATTGCAAAGGATATGTCAGGTAGCGGAACAACCATGGGAAACATCTGCTATCTGTCCAGTGCATTTTTATCTTGTCTGTACTCTGAGGAGCTCAGGGTGGTGGACATCAGGAACCGGCAACCCCAGACACACATCCCAAGTGGTGGCACAGCAGACCATTTTGTTCCTTCTAGCAGCTTCCTTGCTCCAGTCCAGGAGCAAGCATGTTGTTCTTTCAGACTAGACTGGAGCATAGCCTCCAAGACCTGTTTTTGGAGCAGGAGGAGTGATGTCATCAACTGGAGCTTCTTTGGCCCTCCTCCAACAAGTGATAGTCCAACTGATCAGTGCTGTGACCCTCAGTACCTCTCCAGTTTTAGACCTATAAGTCTCCTCTCTATAACTGGGGAGTTGTATGCCAAGCATTTACTATCCAAACCCACTATCTAGATGACATAACAACAAATGTTGGGGCTGGAGCAAGCCGGCTTTCAACAGGGGAAAACCACACTGGATCACTGTACTGTCTTATCCCATCCGGTGAATAAATACACTCAGGGCTTTTTTTGTAGAAAAAGCCCAGCAGGAACGAATTAGCATAATAGGCCACACCCAACAGCTGAAACTCACTGGCATATTAGGCCACACCCTGACACCACAGCTCATTAGCATACTAGGCCGCAGCCCCGTGTTGCCAGAAGTGTGGTCATCCAGCCACACCCACCTTTTGCTTCTTATTCTGTTTACCTTGTTTGTTGTCAAAACCCAGGGCCTTTTTTGTAGCAGGGACTCCTTTGCATGTTAGGCCACACACGCCTACTGTAGCCAATCCTAATGAGTTTCTGCTGTTAGGTGTGGCCTATTATGCTAATGAGTTCCTGCTGGGTGTGGCCAACTCAGGAGACAGCCGGAACTCCGTTCCTGTGCGTTCCTGCCCCAAAATAGCCCTGAATATACTAGGAAAGCAAATCTTAAATTATATACTGCTTTCCTAGACCTTAAAGGAGCTGTGGACTCTATAGACAGAGATTTACTCTGGGATGAATTATGAAGAATGAATATTGATTATAGATTGCTTTTGCTCATCAGAAAATTACATACTTCTATGACCTGTCAGGTTAAATGCTCCCTAGTTGGAAAGTTAACCCCCAAAATTCCAACTAATAAAGGAGTTAAACAGGGCTGCATTTTAGCTCCTTCTTGAATTAATCTTTTCCTTAATGATCTTGCACCAACCCTGTTTGGGGCTGATGGCGATAGCCCTAGACCTGGTTCCTCACATGATGATGCATTATTGATGTCTTGCTCACAAGTGGGTTTGAAGCATCTTTTAAATCGCTGCCTTAAGTACTTTGTATCTAATAAGCTTCAATCGAACTATGAAAAAATTTAAAAATCCTTGCTTTCTCAAGAGCCTGGAAACTATTTAAATGGGAATTCAATGGAAACAAAGTAGAGCAGGTTAAACATTTTAAGTACTTAGGCATCCATTTTCAATATAATGCAGCTTGGATTGTTCGTCAAAGGTTTGCAGCCAACATAGCTAAGTCTAGCACCCAGGCTAACTCCGGAAATAGAATTATTAAACATGATACCGGAGGAGTTTTCACAAAATGACAAATATTTATTAACGTATATAGTGACTACCGCTAGAATATTGATGGCTAAATATTGGGAAAGTGATAAATTCCCAACAAGAGAGGAAATAACACTGAAATTGATGGAGTTAGCAGAAATGGATAAACTAACGATAAGTCTTCAAGGGAAAGATGGAGGTGTGTTTAAAAAAAGATGGGAAAGAATGTACAAATGGATTCATGAAACATTGGGAAATTTAGAGTGAAATGTATACATGAAGGAATATATGTAAGTGTAAATAAGACTCAAGTTATGCAAGTAAGAATGTTTGTATTTAATTTGGGGAAATGATAAATAAAAGTTTTTTTAAAAAAAGATCCATCAAGATAAGACACAGTGATGATTCGATGTTTTATTTATTTATTTATTTATTTATTTATTTAACCTTCGACTTCTATCCCACTCACCCCCTAGGGGCTCTGAGCGGCTTACAATTCCAATTAGCCAATCTAATCTAGGGCCACATATGAAGGGGAGATGAGAAGCCTACCAGGCACTCTTATCTTGTTGTAGCAGATCTTCTTATTGCGAGGGGACAGTCCGCCGGCGACCCTCCTCCGGCGCAGGTCTTCGTTGTTCTGCTTTTTTCCGGCTGTCGCAACTCCGCCTCCAGGCCTGGACCACTCCGTGCTTCTGCGCATGCTCGCAGCGGCCTCCGTCCAACTCAGGCTCCAGCCTGCCGCGTTGCTCCGCCTCCGCACCTTGTTGGTCCGGCCTCCTTCTTTCGCCTCCTCGCCTCGCCAGCCGCCATTTTTCTCTGTTGCCGCCGCCGTTCATCGCTCTCAATTCTCCGCTCTCCGCCATCGCCGCTACGCCAGGGACGGGTGCCCCCCCCCCGCTCTAATAGCAGGTACCCATTTTATCTACTTGCCCTTTAACCGGCTTTCGAACCGCTGGGTGGACGGGAGCTGGGACGTAGGGCCAGGAGCTCACCCTGACCGCGGTGGGGTTCGAACCGCCAAAGCTGTTCGCCCAGATGTTAAAGCAGGCTTCCCTTACTGCCTGCGCCACCACTCCCTAAGTCTTTTTACTACTCTTATTCTGAAACTACTATGATCTGTCCTAATTTATTCTGTATGACTGGGAGGCAGGTGCAGAAAATTGCCAGATGCACAAGTGGTGCCACAACCTCACAAGAGCAGAAAGTGCTGATGCCTCCTATAGGTGGAGCTGCCTCTGTGGCCAGAATTATGGCGGTGGAGCAGTGGGAGCAAAATGAGGGGGGCGGGATCAGCATTGCACCAGCGCCACAACGGCATTTCCAGCAAGGAAACAGAAGTGACGCCACCACATCAAGACGCCAAGTGCTCTAGGATACACCCCAAATGCTACGATTTTTACTGCAGGGTTTCAGGTGAACCCTAGAGCATCACCCGATGCAGTGACGTCACTTCTGGGGTGGCACCAGAAGTGACCTTGCAGTGTTGGCACAATGCCAGTCATCAGGACTCCAGCGCCCCCATGACTCCAGAGGTTGGCATCGCACAACTCTAATAACCCCCCTTTTGTTTGCCAACACACCAGCATCTTCACAGACAGATGTTGTGTTTCACGCAGCACATTCTGGTCACACTGCAGCTCTCCAAGAATGGAACATACGCTATTTATGTCATAATTGGCCCTGAGCACTTAGTTTTCATTGACTATCCCATATACTTATTTGGGCCACACATAACACATTTTATTTCTCTGGTCTGGGGACAGGGGAGAGAAATCTGCACAGCCAATCGCCCCACTTCAGAGAAGAAGATGCTGTAAAGTCGCCTCCACGCCTGAGAGGAGAGGGATGGCAGGGTCTCAGTTAATCACTCTCAGCATTCCACAATTAAGGATACATCAATCTCCAATTTTGACATATTTATTTCCTGTTTTTGCCCCAGAACTGAACCCACACACATGGTTACCATATAAACTAAGCTTATTGTCCCTGCCTGATCCTGAAGAAGCGTGCTTTGCACGCAAAAGCGTACACTTTGAATAAAATTTTGTTGGTCTTAAAGGTGCCACTGGACTTAAACTTTGTTTGATCCTTGCATCTGTTAAACATCTTCATTATGTTGCATGATCATTTACTGCTCGCCCTCTACCTATCTGTATGAACTGGTAATTTTCAATTTCGTTTCTGTCTCTGTCTGGACTCTAATTGGCCCTTCCTAGCAACTAAACCCTCCACCGCTCTCTTCCTATATGTAATGGCTGAGGAAATTCTGTTTCACTGAATCTGAAGAAGTGCACTTGCACATGAAAACTTATACCTTGAATGAAACTTTGTTGGCCTAAACGTGCCACTGGACTCAAACGTTGTTCTACTGCTTCAGAACAACATGGCTGCCCGCCTGGACACATCGTATATGAACCAACTTACATGGTTATTCCACCTCTCCTTTTCCAAGGTCCATGGAATTTACAGAATTCACAGCCTCTTCCTACAGTGTTAAGAGTTTTTTCTGTTAGCTCTTGGCCAATGCACAGACAACATTCTGACTCTTCGGGTGGTTTATTTATTGCTTTTTATTAATGATGCTCACACCTACACGCAGTTCTCCACTGCCATGATCTAAGGATGCTATTGTCTGATAACATTCAAAGCAGTGTTATGCCCACATACAGTACAGTTCAGTATTGCAGCATGTTTCTACTTCCTGTGCTTGGGTGACCACTAGTGGATGTGGCCACCAGATTGGAATGAACATAGAGATAAAAACTGTATTTGTTACCATCATTAAATACCTCAGTGTGTATATTTTAAATACTATCAGGCTTAGGAGTGAGCTTGTATATGCTCGTTTAGACCACACATACCACACGTTGTGTGAAATCATCTTACAAGGTTATTCTGCCTCTCTTCGTCCAAGACCCATGGAAGAGCTACTGCCTAGCGATGTGGGCAGGATTATGGAATGGCAAGAAGATGGGGCAATGCACGCTAACAGTCAAGGGTCAAGGATATCGGGCCCAATGGGAGGTCCCAGATTTAGTTTTCTCCAGGTACTATTTTAAGTGCTATAGAAACCTGCAATATTATTTGGCCAGAAACAGAACAGAAATGAATGTGCATACCCTGAGCAACGTCCTTTATATATTTCCAGTTCTGAAAATCTACCATTTGGTCACAGCCTTGTGGGGCAAACCTAACCATGTTTACTCAGAAATAAGTCCCACTCAGTTCACTAGGACTTCCTAGTGCAGTCCTAAATCCATGGGATTAGAAGAGTGTAACTCTGTCTAGGATTGGACTGTGGCCAAATCTGCATTTGTCTTTCCCACCGGTGTCCCAGCCTTTTGACTCCATCTTCAAAAAAGCTGTCTACATTTGGTGTCGTTTTCACACCTCAACAGTGCTAGCATACTTTTGCACGTCCACATGTTTATCGTCCTTTGGGGCGGCTCCACTGTCATTGCACCTCCACACTGCTTTAAAAGAATCTTCTCCAAACAACAGTCAAACAAGCATAGAGAAATACAGCATCACAGCAGCACGAAACTGATTTTAAAATGCAAATGCAGATTCGACCTGTGAGGACTACAGTCTTAATGTGAACCTGTGCAGGAAATCCAGGAAGAATTCCAAGGCCAGTGAGATGTTGACATTAATCTCAAATGTCAGCAGAGGAGCGCAGACACCCGCTGAGTTTGGTAGGCACCAGTTTTAGTTCACACCTCTCAAGTGCCATTCATTGTGAGAAAGAAGCAAGAGTTCCACCTGGTTTCCAGCAGCTGAAAGCTGCAACCAGGTCCAGCTTTGCTAAAGCAAAGAGAAAACTGAGGACAGCTTTCAAAAATGAAAACAAATACGAGGTCACCTGAAACAAAGGGATATTTCTGTGCTTTGCACTCATTCATCATAATATTCCTACATCTTTATTGCACAGTAGATCAGTAAACATAATCATTAAGTTTAGATATAGAAGAAGAGATTGGATTTATACCCCGCCCTTCACTACCCAAAGGTGTCTCAGAGCGGCTTACAAACTCCTTTCCCTTCCCCTCCCCACAACAGACACCCTGTGAGGTAGGTGGGACTAAGAGACCTCTTGACAGAAACTGCTCTTTTTTCAAGAAGAGCTCTTATCAGAACTATGGCTTGCCCAAGGCCATCCAGCCAGGTGCAAGTGGAGGAGTGGGGAATCCAACCCGGTTCTCCCAGATTAGAGTCCGCGCACTTAACCACTACACCAAACTGGCTCTCTATATGTATTTTTAATGTATATTAAAATAGAAAATATCTGTGCTTGTTTTTTTAAAATAAAACATATGCTCATGCCCTCTCTTGATACATTGTAAACATCTTTTTTTTTTAAAAAAAAAAAAATGTAGTGCAACTGATACACAAGGATCTCATCTTTTCCGTAGACTCTTTGCACCAAATGGGATATTTACACTGGACTTCTGAAATCCTGATACTAAATGTGGTGGGATAAGTTTATTTCCTATAATGAATGATAGGTGGTCTCCCTACCCCCACCCCCGAGGCCGGGGGTGACAGTGGAATTCTGAAAAAAAACTTCCCAGAATCACAAAAGGGGTATATTACTAATTTTTAAAGGGGCCTCTTTTTCAAAGAGCCAAAGGTCTGCCATGCCATGTCTTGGTTCATTAAACGATGCCTTGTTTGCTCTGACCGCGAATGTCTCTCCAAGGTGTTAGATGGGGGGTAAAGACTGAACCTATAACCATAGGCATTCACAGCACATGTGCTACCATTGAGCTATAACCCCTTTGAGAGAAGATGCACAGCACAGCTGCTGCACACCTAATCCACAGCCGTATTACTGTAGCCGGTTGGAGCAGCCACACAGCACCCAGCCTGAGAACACAGCATCAGAGGGTTATGGCTCTCTCTCTGCAGGTGCCGATCCTGTGAGTCATAGCAGATGGGCTGTGCAATCCCCATACCAATAGGATGCTGCTGGGGAGGTTCCAGGGAAGAGGAAAAATCAGCACAAAAAGGGCTGGGAACCCTTGAAATAGGGCATATCCACACCTAGCATGAACTCCTTTGCATATTAGGCCACACACCCCTAATGTAGCCAATCCTCCAAGAGTTTACAGAGCTCTTCTTACAGGAGCTACTGTAAGCTCTTGGAGGATTGGCTACATTAGGGGTGTGTCACTTAATATGCAAATGAGTACCTGCTACAAAAAGAGCCTCCCCCTTCCCTCGTAGCTCTAGTTTTTCTCACAGAAAAGTGCTTAAGAAAGGCTTGCCGCTTCTTGGCCTATTCCATCCAAGTCAGCAGATAAACACCTAAAATAGAACGGAAGTTGATTTCTTAATTTGTGGGACAATTTTATGAGTTAAAACTCTATTTTAGTGATAGTGGCACTCTTATCAGCAACACCAGTTGCTGCCAACAACAGTGTTCTTTCCCCACCCTCTGTGTACCCATCCTCTGGGTACTCTTTAAACAAGAAGCACTAGCTGATCACCAGTCCCAAACTCCTGCTTTCTTCCGGCAGCAGATTCTCAAATAAGGAAGCATGGCCTTCTTTCTACAAACCACTTTGCAACCACGTCTTTAAAGCTGGGGTAAATATAAGAACAGAACCCATCACTGACACCACCAAAAACAGCCACAGGAAGATCCGGTCCAGGACCTGAGCCACAAACTTCCAGTCTTGCACTACCTAGAAAAGAAAACAGCAAGAAAAGTTTCACTCTGATTTTACAGAACTTAACATAAATATACTGAGAATGTAACAATTAAATATATATACACACAAGGGGGGGGACCCCTAAGGACTTGCAGGGGGCACCTCATTTTATCTCCCCCCCCCCACTATTCCCTCTTTCTCTTTTCCAGCTTCCTCCTTTCCTTCCCTACCCACCATGCAACCTATATTTATTTACCTCTCTTTCTTCAGCTTTCCCTCCTTCTCTCTCCCTGGCAGCCTCTACCCAGGAAAATGATAGCTGGTTGAGCATTGGCAGCTTCTGGGCCAAGCCCAGTTGCATGGTGGAGAACCCATACCTCCTTGTGGAGGGCAACCTACTTTCCCCTGTATCCCCCGTTTTCTTTTCCCTTCCTCCTGGCAGCCCCTGGATCCTCAACCTTCCCTGTCTTCTGGTCTCCCAAACGACCCACCAACCCTTTATCTGCCCTCCTTCGTTTATGCCTTTATCTGCCTTTATCTGCCCTCCTTCGTTTATAGCACATCTTCTCTGCAATGGGAGCTCAAAGCAGCTTCTATCCTTCTCTGGCTTTTGTGGGGGCGGGTGTGTGTGTGTTGATGACCATTAACTAGCAGCCGGGCATGGGTGAGTCATGGATGCTTCATGGTTGCAAGACACCTGGGCCTGGCCAAGTCACCAGCTGCTGGGCCTGGCCACTCCAGTAACTACCTAATTAGGGTCCATCAAGCTGATCTGAAACCCTCATATGGTTTATTAACCAGAATTCATCTTATCTACAGTTTCACGTGATGTACGAACTCAAACACCTTAGCTTAATTCAGGCTTGTTCCCTATTTAATTATTTATACATACATACATGCCCTGCCTTTCTCCAGAAGGGGGTCCAAAGCGGCTTATATCATTCTCCTCTCCATTTTATCCTCACAACAACCCTGTGAGGTAGGCTAGGCAGAGAGTGTCTGACTGGTCCAAGATCACCCAGCAAGCCTCCATGGCAGACTGTGGGTTCAAACCGCATTAATTCCCCAACTACGGAGACAACTCAGCCAGAGTGAAGATGAAACCAGTATTTTTCAAGACAACCATGATCTGCGTGATCATTCACATGTCAAATCTGGGTTTCAGAAACTAGCCATTACTAAAAGAAACCGTAGTTTTCATGTTATATCTAAAATGAGCCACAGTTTCCATCCTTGAATGAGAAACATACTGAATATCACTTGGGTTCTTAAATATCAGGCAGTGCTAATGAGCTAATAGGTTCTAATCTCCTCATTTGCAGCGTTAACTGGTGTTGACAGTTTGGGTCAGCCATTTAGTGCAGAAATGCAGGAGAAGAGGCATGAAAGTCAATCATGTCGCATAACCAGCGCTTCATGAAAGGTAAACAATTATCCAGGCCTATTAGTTTGACGTGGATTCTTTTGTCTATCATTAACTTTGCTAGCCTTTAATAAATTAAGTGCAAGCACGTCATTTTTTTAAAATAGATTGAATAGAGGGGAGGCCAGAAAATAAGGCACAGTCTACCTCTAGGCAGGTGACCTATGCCCTATAGACCATCTAGAACCTGCCAATATTCTTGCAAAGGATGCTGTAGCAAGGCCCAGTTTATGTTCTTTCTTTCTTTTTTGAAGTACCCAGTTTATGTTCTTACATAAGACCGCATACTCAAGATCCCTGAATATATGTTGGTGGTGGAAAGTGCCGTCAAAGTTCCAGTTAACATATGGCTATCCCATAGTGCTTTCAAGGCAAGAGATGAACAGAGGTGGTTTGCTATTGCCTGCCTCTGTGTAGCAACCCTGGACTTCCTTGGTGGTCTTCTGTCCAAGTACAAACCATGGACAACCCTGCTTAGCTTCCCATCTAGCCTAGGTCATCCAGGTCAGGAGCTTAATGTACATTAGTTATGCCTTAACCCTTGGAGTCTCTTAAAAGTGTACACTTGCCTTGAAAATGTCAAACCACTACGTATTGTTTATTATAGCAAACTGTTGTTCATTATAACAAACTGTTGTGTGAAATCCTATTAAAATTTCTATGGAGTTATCTATGTTATACTATACTATATAATAGATAAGATCGACAAGATAAGATCAAAATGAAAATATAGTATGAGAAATTGGTAGAATGAGTAGGTAGAATGAATACAGATTTTTTTAAGTTAATAGGTCATGTATATTTTAAGCTATATTCTTATGCCATTACCCCATATATATCTTGTTAAACATTTGTTAAGCTATTATACCATATACGTTTTACATACACACACACACACACACACACATATATATATATAAAGAATTTCTGTAAAATTGCCCTCACACTAGGTTTTTTGGTAGTTAAATTTTCTGTTTTTCCCTATTCCTTCTTCTTTTTTTTGTACCCCTTATAATAAAAATGTTAAAAAATGCCAAACTACATTGATGGGCCATGTGAACGTGCAAGATCAGAGCCAGCCCACCACTAATTTAGCCTACCTGTCTGATGAAATGTTCCTTTTTAACATGCCTGGAGATATACTTAATGGAGTCAGCAGCTTTTTCCAGGAAAGCAACCACAATTTTTTCTCCGTCTTTGAATTGTTTGTGTTTGTGTTTCCTAGCTGGCTTCTGTTTCAGGGATCCTTCGGGATCAGAAAAGGAAAAGCGATCCACGTGCCCTTTCATGCAGAGCAGCCTCGGGAGTTTCTGAAGGAAGAGTCTTTTCACCCAAGGAGCCATCGGGTGGTAGGTTGCCGAGGAACGATGGTGCACGTTGATTACGAAAACGGTCACGATGATCGAGAGGGTCACAAAAATCATGATAAAGAGCAAGTATTCCCCAATCAGAGGTATGACTTTCGAAGACGAGGGAATGATTTCTTCAATGACTAAGAGAAAAACAGTAAGGGAGACCAAAACGGAGGTCGATAGTGATAGTTTTTCTCCCTCGTCGGAAGGCAAGTAAAAAACGAGAACAGTTAAAAATGACAACCCCAGGCAAGGGACTATTAAGAAGAGAGTGTAAAACAGTGGGAGTCGTCTTAAAACGAAGGAATAGGTTATGAAAGGGTAGGAATACAACCCATCTTTTCTGTTTCCCTTCATACCCTTGGCTTTTAGAATTTCCCATTCCCCATTGTCAAAGAAATCTGTCCGGTCCACATTCTCATTCACCAGGATTAAGTCAACCATTCGGCCATCGTAGGTCCATGATCCAAATTTCATTGAGCAATTCTGCCTATCGAATGGGAAGAAGGTCACGTCCATAGTGCAGGAACTTTTATAACTGGCCGGAGGAGTCCAGACAACGATCCCATTGTATTTGACAATCGCCTTAGTCATCAATGAGCCTTCAAAGCGACCGTCAGCACTGGGAGGGAAGAAGAGGGAAGAACTGGTTTTTGCATGGTACCTCAGGCTGCTCTTTCTATCTGTTTTTCTTTTGTTCTGATTTTCTCCCTGCACCCTTGGTAATGGTAGACAGGCGCTTGCTAAAAATAAAACCTGCAATATATTACCTCAAGTCCCAGCAGCCTTTGAATGCTTACAATCTATCCTAAACAATTTCAGAGGGTAGCCATGTTGGTATGCCATAGAACAGTTTAGATTCGAGACCAGTAGCAGAGACCCACGGTTGCAGGACAATACCCAGAATGTCCTTCACAATGTAGGCTCCTTTGGAAATCTAACCAGCATGGTGTGTTAGTTAAGAGGCAGAGCCAGTGTGGTGTAGTGGTTAACAGCAGCAGACTCTAATCTGGAGACCCAGGTTTGATTCCCCACTCCTCCACATGAAGCCCACTGGGTGACCTTGGGCCAGTCACAATTCTCTCAGAACTCTCTCAGCCCAACCTGCCTCACAAGATGCCTGTTGTGGGGAGAGGAAGGGAAACTGATTGTAAACCACTTTGAGACTCCTTAAGGTAGGTCCCGTTCACACTAGGCGATTTGGGCCGGGAGCGGGACAGTTCGGGGCCGGATCAAACCGGCGCGATCACACCACAACATCTGGGAAGCGTCTTGCTTCCGTGCCCGAACTGTCCCTTCCCCGCACAAATCCGCCGCAAACTGAACCACCTACCTTAGGTGGTTCAAATGGACGCGGCGCGGCAAGCGGGGCGTTTGATCGCCGGCGCGTCCTCGCGCCGGCACAACCCTGGTCCGGATCCGAACTGCGCATGCTCCGACATGCGCAGTTCGGCCGGCTAGGCGTCTGACCTGTGTTTTCTCCCCGGCGTTTGATCGCGCCGGGGAGAAAAGGCGCCGCGGCCAGGGGATCCAGGGGATCTTGCCGCGGCGTCTCAACATTGGCGCGGCTTTTAAAAGCCGCGCCTTAAGAGGCTTTTCCCCTGCCGTGTGGCTGGGGCCGTAGAGAAAAACAGGGTATAAGAACTAATCTTCTTCTTCTGCTTTTCTAACCAAAGCATTGAGGAAGAGCCGTTAGCCTATTTCCTGGCCATTGTCAACAGGTCTGAGTCATGCCTGCTACCCAAGTTGACACAGTCAATTGCAACTGGTGGACATATCCCCTTCCTGTTATATCACCTATGTATTCCTTAATAATATCACCTTACAATAGAACGTTTGAATTATCCAATGCCAACTCAGATTCTCTCACCAATGGGTTCTTGAATCCTGAAGTCCCACCTATTGTAGCATAACCCAAATTTCATGATTGAGCAGCCAGATCCTGGATTTTGGTCCCGTGCACTGCAGATCCTAGAGCTGCACCAGTTTTGGGCAATAGTACTGCAAGCCCTATCCAAGCCCAGATAAATCCAGGGGAGTAAATAAAGGCCTGTCAAGCCCTCCATTTTTTTAGTTGACTCTGCTCCTGAGCCTTCTTCCAGTACTACTGCACTGAAATAACTGGATCTCCCAACCAAAACAGGCAGAAGTACTGGAAGAAGTGAGCAGTGACTCACGAAAGCTCCTACCCTGACACAAATTTTGTTAGTCTTTATGGTGCTATTGGACTCTTGCTCTTTTCTACTAAAACAGGCAGAGGCCCTGGCCACACATGCCGGAAAACGTGAGGGGGGAGGCGTGGCTATTTGCGCCATCGCATTCTGATCCGCCATTATGCGATCAGACACGACGGTGGCGCACCGGGGTTTTGTCCTTCGGCGTGCACTGCAAAGAGGACAGCCGGAGGGAAAAGGCATGCGCCAGCGCAATCACACCGAACGAGTCCGTCTGCAGCCCGTGGCAAACCATTTGCTAGTAGATCTTTGCAGGGACTTTTTAACTGAGCATCTTCGGCAGCATACCACAGGTTGGCCATGGATGTGCTACGCTTCCCAAATGTTGCGGTGTGATCGCACCCCGAAAATCCGCCCAGCATTCGTTCCTTTCGCGCGGCAAATTCTCTGTGTGACCGTGGCCAGAGTATGCTTTTTCCTTCTCCCATTCTGCTTCCCCTCCTGAAATTGTTCTTCCACATCTTTGTACCTGTTCCATCTCTTCGCTTCTCCTCTTTCTGTTCTCTTCTCTCCTCCAGCCAGTCTGCACTCATAGCGTCCTCACCTGGCTTGGAACTTCTTCCTTCCTATCCTGGAAATCCTTCCCTGTCCATCCCTCTGCATTTTGTGATCCCTTTTGAGCAACCGCTGCATTCCTCTCTTCTCTCTGGGTTGGTTTCTCAGGACTAGCCCATGGGAGGAAACCATTTGGGCCCAAAGTAACGTTAAATGAATATTAACTTGAAGTAATACAACTGAACATTAGGACTGTACAAAAGTGAATGGGTTCTATTAGAATGCCAGAAGGAAATTGCTACTGAATTGGTCGCCATTGAATATTTCAGTCTTGCTGTCTTGTTCTGCTGCCATTTTGCTTCCCATTGCTATCCTGTATCTTTGTTGAGTCAGTACTCTTACTCTCCGGTTAAGAAGAGGAAGAGATTAGATTTATACCCCACCCTTCACTAAGTCCCAGAGTGGCTTACAATCTCCTTTCCCTTTTCCTCCCCACAACAGACACTCTGTGTGACGTAGGAAGGGTTGAGAGAGCTCTTTCAAGAACTGTCCTTGAGAGAACAGCTCTGAGAGAACTTGTGACTGACCCAAGGTCACAGCAGCAGCTGCATGTGGAGAAGTAGGGAATCAAACCTGGTTCTCCCAGATCAGAGTCCACGCCCCTAACCACTACACCAAACTGGCTCTGTTATCGGTCCCTTTCCTCTTTTTTTCCTTGGAAGACTTATTAAGCCAAAATGGGAACTGTGTATAAACTAATTTTAGAGGGTAGCCACATTGGTCTGCAGTAGAAGGGAGCTTTGATTTTCAAAAGCTTATACCCCTAAATCTTGCGGGTCTCTAGGGTACTACGGGACTTGAATCTAACAGTACGTACACTAGACTCAAAAGATCCCAGTTTTACATGCTCCTTCGGCGTGCACTGCAAAGAGGACAGCCGGAGGGAAAAGGCATGCGCCAGCGCAATCACACCGAACGAGTCCGTCTGCAGCCCGTGGCAAACCATTTGCTAGTAGATCTTTGCAGGGACTTTTTAACTGAGCATCTTCGGCAGCATACCACAGGTTGGCCATGGATGTGCTACGCTTCCCAAATGTTGCGGTGTGATCGCACCCCGAAAATCCGCCCAGCATTCGTTCCTTTCGCGCGGCAAATTCTCTGTGTGACCGTGGCCAGAGTATGCTTTTTCCTTCTCCCATTCTGCTTCCCCTCCTGAAATTGTTCTTCCACATCTTTGTACCTGTTCCATCTCTTCGCTTCTCCTCTTTCTGTTCTCTTCTCTCCTCCAGCCAGTCTGCACTCATAGCGTCCTCACCTGGCTTGGAACTTCTTCCTTCCTATCCTGGAAATCCTTCCCTGTCCATCCCTCTGCATTTTGTGATCCCTTTTGAGCAACCGCTGCATTCCTCTCTTCTCTCTGGGTTGGTTTCTCAGGACTAGCCCATGGGAGGAAACCATTTGGGCCCAAAGTAACGTTAAATGAATATTAACTTGAAGTAATACAACTGAACATTAGGACTGTACAAAAGTGAATGGGTTCTATTAGAATGCCAGAAGGAAATTGCTACTGAATTGGTCGCCATTGAATATTTCAGTCTTGCTGTCTTGTTCTGCTGCCATTTTGCTTCCCATTGCTATCCTGTATCTTTGTTGAGTCAGTACTCTTACTCTCCGGTTAAGAAGAGGAAGAGATTAGATTTATACCCCACCCTTCACTAAGTCCCAGAGTGGCTTACAATCTCCTTTCCCTTTTCCTCCCCACAACAGACACTCTGTGTGACGTAGGAAGGGTTGAGAGAGCTCTTTCAAGAACTGTCCTTGAGAGAACAGCTCTGAGAGAACTTGTGACTGACCCAAGGTCACAGCAGCAGCTGCATGTGGAGAAGTAGGGAATCAAACCTGGTTCTCCCAGATCAGAGTCCACGCCCCTAACCACTACACCAAACTGGCTCTGTTATCGGTCCCTTTCCTCTTTTTTTCCTTGGAAGACTTATTAAGCCAAAATGGGAACTGTGTATAAACTAATTTTAGAGGGTAGCCACATTGGTCTGCAGTAGAAGGGAGCTTTGATTTTCAAAAGCTTATACCCCTAAATCTTGCGGGTCTCTAGGGTACTACGGGACTTGAATCTAACAGTACGTACACTAGACTCAAAAGATCCCAGTTTTACATGCAATGAAGGTGATCTTCTGCCCAGACACGGAGAGCGATACAGGCAGAGGTCACCCCGGGTGAGGTGCGGGGGCGGGGCACATGACAAAGCCCCGCCCCCTGCTTCCGGCCACCCCGCTTCCAGCCCTCATTCAGCCAGGAGGAGGCAGGAGAAGAGGGAGGGTAAGTTGCTTCCTCCCCGCCTCTCCCCACCCCTGCCTGCCTGGGGCCAGGGAGGGCCTTAGCGGGAGTCCTCGCACTCCCGCCGGCCTTGCAGGTCCACTGCCGGGCCCCTGATGTCAGGGGGTGTGGCATATGCTAATGAGTTATGCTAATGAGTTCCCCTAGTTCTTTTTCTATGAAATGACCCCTGGATACAGGCAACAAGTATAGATGCTGAATCATCTGGTGCAGTGGGCTTCAAACCGTCCAGACCCCAGGACCTACCTTTAAGCTGAGCAAAGGACCCACTGAACTGCAAGCATATGGCAGGAGTCACATGGCCTCCCAGTCATGTGATGGAAGAGAGGGAGAGTGAATCTCTGAACTCCCCTGTGCTAAAAAGGAATTTCTTTCATTGCTGAGTGACCTTACCTCATTGTCTCATTGCTCCTCTTAGAGTGTGTTGAAAGAGAGGCAGGAGGTGTGCCAACTTTGCTCTCTATGCTTATTATTGTTCACTGTCTTTACTGTTTTTGCAACCGGAATCACAAACGGCAAGCTCTCTGTGCATGCATACTATCAGCTCCTCCCACAAAGCACTCAAAATTGGAAGTTCTATAGGAGTCTGCGACCGGACTTGGTTCTCTGACCCACCCAAGAGTCTTTCCCATGCTTTGAAGACCCCTGGTCTAATACACATGCTATATAACCACTCACCCGTTTCCAAAACCATGCCGCAGTACCTGTAATTGCCTTTGTGCATGTTCTTTCCCAGCTACCCCACCTCTGTCTTTCTTCCCCTCCCTCATTAAAAATGTAGATGGTAGGCTTCTGGGGCCAAGACCTTGTTTTGCAGAATACCATGTGCTCTAATTAAGTCACATATAAATAAATCACTGCTTTTCCCCCCTCAGGCCCCCACAAATGAACATGTACATTAATTACATAATTTTGCTATACATCAATTTAATTATCATTGTACTCACTTTTCAAACAGCACAATATCTGGGAGCCAAAGCGATTCAGATGGGACCCGAATTGCAGTGATCCCACCATAGTCCTCAGGATTCCAGCACAATGTGTGGTCGATCCATTCCTGCCATTATCAGAAAGAGCATCAGCAGTGTTCCACTGTAACTTCCCCCAATTAGTTAACCATTCCCATGCTGAAGAACACAATCATTCTGGACCGCCCATCAGCTCTAAAGAGGGCCAGCCCAAGGAAACGCATCATCCTGTGACTGCAATCAAGCACATATCTAAATCCACACAGGGCCATAGCCACACAGGAGCCACACATCAGGCTTGTGACACTCCTTGAGGATATTCCAGGCCCTTCTGAATATCCATATCTATTGTAGACAGAGCCCAACCGACAAAGAAGATTCAGAGCACAGGTCAAACACAGCCTTCCAGTAGGGAATAAACTCCAGTATGGAATAAACCAGTTTGGTGTAGTGCTAAGGAGCACGGACTCCAGTCTGGGGAAACCAGGTTTGATTCCCCACTCCTCCACATGCAGCTGCTGGTGTGACCTTGGGTCAGTCACAAGTTCTCTCAGAGCCGTTCTCTCAAAAGCAGTTCTTGAGAGAGATCTCTCAGCCCCACCTATCTCACACGGTGTCTGTTGTGGAGAGGGGAAGGGAAAGGAGATAGTAAACCGCTCTGAGACTCCTTCAGGTAGTGAAGGGCAGGGTATAAATCCAATCTCTTCTTCTTCTCCTAATAGTAAACAACTCTGCATCTGAGAAGGAGACTAACCAGTAGTAGTAGTAGTAGTAGTAGTAGTAGTAGCAGCAGCAGCAGCAGCAGCAGCAGCAGCAGCAGCAACATTTATTGTGTATACATTGGCCATTACAATTTAAAATTTAAATGTAAACAATATACAAATTAGACAATTTACAGCACTGGAATCTGACTAACCTTTAGGCATACACAATAAGCTGTGGGTTTGGGTTTTGTTTTTTTTAAAGTCAGGGCATAATCTAGGTCCCAGCCAAGCCTTCCCCTCCTTCATACCTCCTCCATCAACCTTCCCCTCAGGGCCAAAGTACACAGGGCTTCTGCCTTCCCCCCAAAGCACTGATGGAGGAAGTTATTTCCTTGTTGTTGCTGCTCTGCATACATAGAATGCTCCCCACGGAGCAGAAAAACCGGGAAGTAAGTCCCCTCCAGTGTTGTTAGCCCTGACGGATAGCCCTTGTTAGGTTTCCAACGTTAAGCAGGGTTGGCCCTGGTCAGTATTTGGATGAGAGACCACCAAGGAAGGAGTCACTACACAGAGGCAAGCAATGGCAAAGTACCTCCGACTGTCTCTTGCCTTGAAAACCCTATGGGGTTGCCCTAAGTCAGCTACAACTTGACAGCAAGCAAAACGTGCTGTTTAGGGTATGGGAAATCAGCTTGGGACACAGAGGCATGACCCCTTCATCCCCCCATGGTGGCATTCCAAACCCATTTGGGCTCTCCTTTATTTTTTAAAAGCTATTCCTGACAGCTGCACAACCTGTTAAAAACAGAATCGTGTAGTTTGGCCCTTCTGCATGCCTGTATTCTTGTACCCTAAGTTTGTAGTCTTATTAACTTTTGGGGATATAAGAGAAAACATAGATGTAGCATTCTAACCAACATCTCAGAACGAAGCAAGTACAAAGCCACTGGGGTGAGGACTCGGAGAGAAACTACTTGGGCCCCTAATCTGTATTTTGTTAATTTGCCAAATTTTGCTTTAAACTTACAAGGGCACTCATATTTAAGTTTTTGCTATTCATTCTGATTTATGATGTGCTCACACCCTTCCCTTATTGGCCCCAAAACACACCACAGCTTTTTTGGCTACTGGCCTGGATGACAGCTATGCAGTTGCCTCAGCCCAAAGAACAAGGTCAACATGAACAGCCATGTTGGTTGGCTTGCAGGCTTTAAACAGAGAGATGTTTGCTTGTTCATTATTTATTTATTCAATTTATAGACTGCTTTCCCCGCATGCGGCCTCGGGGCTGTTCACAACATATCAGTAAAACACAGTCAACCCATCACTCAATAAATTAGAACAATTAAAATCATTAAAATCCCAAGAACTATTACAGGATGGTGCTTAAACCAGTTTTCTATCATTACCCCATAGGGGGGAGGGCAAAAGGAGGAGAGAGAAATGACATCGCAGAGGGAGGGCCAGGCACAATGGAAGCCATTGCTATCCTCAGGGCCGGCTCGAGGTGTTTCTGCGCCCTAGACGAGGCTGCCTTATGCCGCAGATGCCAACCTCCCAGTGGGGCCTGGAGACCTGGAGCCCTCTGGAGCCAGCCACCTTTTGCTGCTGCCACCACCGCCTCCTCCCCCCGCCACCAAAGGGGGGGAGGGGGGAGTCACAGCTTGGCGCCCCATCCAGGGCCCGGTGCTCTAGGTGAATGCCTAGTTCGCCTAGTGGGTGAGCCGGCCCTGGCTATCCTCAACCATAGGCTTGGTGGAACATCTCTGTCTTACAGACCCTGTGGAACTGTATCAGGTCCTGTAGGGCACAGATGTCATTTGGCAGAGAGTTTCACCAGGCCGACACCAGGGCCAAAAAGGCCCTGGCTCTGGTCGAGGACAGCCGAATATCTTTTGGGCCAGGGATCACCAGAAGGTTTTTCTCTCTGAGGGGGAATGCCGGAGGTTTCCTGGTAGAAAAGATATACTGAGGCAAGAAATACAATCCTGATGTCTTCACATCAGAGGGGGGAAAACAATAGTTAGTCCTCATCGCAAAGTAGAAAGATATGGAAACCCACCACAGAACCAAAAACACCAACTTGATCTGGAGATAATGGTGCACAATCACATGGATCTCCAGGTCATCTTGAGTAGTTTCCAACTCATGAGTTGAGGCTCACAGGTAGGTTACAGAACCCCATCTATTGGCCATGAGTCCATAGAGAGGTGTCATTTTTGTTTACTGTTACTGAAAGGATGCAGTACTAGTACAGGCGCAGAGAGAGCAAGGAATGCCATGCCTCCTTTGCCCGAATGCTAAGAGGAGCAGCAGAATGGAAACGTCATTGAGTGTGGAGAGGATTCTTCTTCAGCACAGGCATGTTCAGAGATGCCATTCTCCTCAAAAGCAGTTCCTTTCCTTGTCTCTCTGGTCAGGCCACCTTCCACACCACCACCCTGCCGGTCAGTCCTCCAATTTTCCATGGGTACAGGTGAGGTCATAACTCTGGCTCTTCTACCAGCTGTTACTCTGATGTCATGTGACTTCCTTTCGTGTGGTGACAGCGCAACAGGACCTTTGCTGCCACCAGGGCATTAAAGGTGAGCCCTGGTCCTGGGAAAGCTGAATACCACTGGTCTAGAGTTTCACACGCTGGTTCCTTCAGTTCACCTCACTGTGAAAAGCTGAAAAGGAGGCTGGGTTTTGTTTCTTTTCTGCTCAGGTGGCAACCCTGCATCATACTGTGGTGCATAAGCTGAGGTACCTGAGGATGGCATCAAGGAGAAAAAAAGAGTTCTCTACTTATATTTATTATTTATAAGTTTTTAGATTGCCCTGCGGGAATGCAGAAGGAGGAAGAAAGAGCTGGCTGACTAAAATCAATAGCAGCAATAATGGTTATCTTCTTGTGCAGAGAATTCAGATGTAGGGCTCTTACAAGTTCTCTTTTTCTTCAAAAATATGCTCCATGTTCCTTCTTGTCCAGTTAAGGATCTCATATCATATTCCTTTAGAATTCAGATGTAGGGCTCTTACAAGTTCTCTTTTTCTTCAAAAATATGCTCCATGTTCCTTCTTGTCCAGTTAAGGATCTCATATCATATTCCTTTACGTCCTTCATATCTCCTAAATCAAACATGGCACTGCTGCAAATTAGTGTAACCAAAAAGGTTGTAACAATGAAAAAGAGGTTAAAATATAACTATGGACTTAGTGTGTGCGCGTATATAATATATATTATATAATATAATAATATTATTCTATATATAATCTCTTTTTCATTGTTACAACCTCTTTGGTTACCCTTCTTGTGCAGGGTTGTGTTTTTCTCCCCTTTTTTGGTTGTGCCCACTGCTGCAAATTAAACTTATCTATCTTTCCTTCTTTATTTCTTCAGCAATGGGGAGTGATGGGTGCCAGCAGCCTGCCAGGAAGTGTGGAAAGAGACTTGCAACTCTGTTCTATGCAGGCATACTCAAAAGCAAGGGTTCTATCACGTGAACACCCACCCACCCCGCACTACAGCAGCAGCAGCAAATGGCATGTCCCTGCTGCCCTCACCGCTGACCCCAAACCCCCCTCTCCTCCTCCCCCTCTTTTTCATTGCACATGAGCCCAGAACTCCCCCTTCCCCCTCCTTCTTCCAGCCAAGCTGTGCTGTAATGCTACAACAGGGCAGAGCTGGAAAGGAAAGACTACTTTTAGATGGCTGGAAAGTGGGGGGGGGAGGATATGTGGAGTTCTTAGCTCAGCCATTTTGAAGGCTTAGCTCCACCACCTTTCCTGTGGTTACTGCATGGATACTTTGCCCACAACCACCCCACGGTACTTCCTTCAATCTGGTTTAAAGGTGAAAGCCCTGGGAAGCCCACGAGTTGTACTCAGCATGAGCACTGTGTTATGTGGAGTTTCCCTTTAAATGCAGGGGCTTCCTGACATCCATAAAGGGGAAAATCCCATTGTGAAAAAAGCCTGCCCCACTAAGTAATGGACATCTTATTCCTAAACAAGTATATACAGGATTACCTAAAGTATCCTATGTATATAAAAGTATTGGCACTTTCCAGCTCTCCCATTGGCTGTGCTGTGTGCTCCATCAGCCATTGGCCCATCCACTGCCACTCAAGAGTACTTGCATGCCATTGGTTGAGTGCTGGGTCCGCTCCTCTCCCCTGCCCACTGCCGGCTTGGCCACTCTTCCCTGTGTGAATAAGCTGCCAAAACAGCTGTCTCTCCTGATGAAGACACTTCTACTGCTGCTTAGCTCCTCCGTGGATGGATGGCTACTGAGAAGATCCACTGGCCGTCAAACCATTCTCTTCTCCTCCTGCTGTGGGGCTCACTTTCCCCTCAGTGGCTGTTGTTAGGCAACCAAGCTTGGTCCTGTCAGTAAAAAGGCA